CATGCACGATATTCTAAACAAAAACCTTAACACTGTAATATGCGAATTATTATGCTTGAAATTGTCAACACAGTACTCCAGGCGATGTTCCTCTCATTGATCCATGCGCTAACCCTCAATGATTACGTTGGTTAACCGGGTAACAGAACAATTGATTACTTCCTCAGAGTAACACGAGCATATACGGCGACAGGATTAAAAGTCCTTAAAAACTCATGCGACGATATTCACGAAAGGCAGTGAAACAAATTGTTCTACTCCAATGGCAAAAGAATACGGTAATTAATTCATGAGCGATATTACGTAATTGCGAAATGTCTTGGAGCAAGGGTATGTGGCAGTACGCCTACTTAAGCAAATACCCATCGATTACTAATGCTTCAGGGATTCATACATGTAACCTTCAATGATCACTTTCGTTAATTGGGTAACAGAACAAACGACTACTTCAGAGTAACACGATCATATACGACATAGAAATAAAAAAGTCCTTAAAAATTCATACAACCAGGGCAATAAAGAAACATGTCCCGAAGGCAAGAGTAGTTATCAATTAATTCGAACATCTCAAATACTTCTAAATGACCGTATCCACGTGACTCAATGGGCAGCAATGTTCTTCACGATCAGTTGCTATTTAATGCACCACCTTGGAATGGCAACCCTTCTTGAAACACAAAGATAACTTTTTGGAACAATCTTATTTGTCCCGATATGCGTGTTGTGTGTCTTCTTTGCCACTTGTTCAATTCTTTGCGTAAAGCTGACGCCGGGCGATGCGTCGGGAGGGTGTTGGGGAGGGTCGTTCTCTCTCTTGCTCGGGGCATCGGCTGGTAGATACAGGCTCTTTCCACTGCTGGAGTAGCTGCATCGGCACGTTGCCTGTCCTTGAAGATGCTCGATCAAGCCTGCCGCTGGTCCGCTGACAGCAGCAGGCGGCTGGTCAGGCTCTTTCTCCTGCTGGCTGAGCCGAGTCGGCACAACGCTTGTCCGCCGGCAGCTGGCACCCTTGCTTGGTTGAGCTGGTTGCGCTGGTGCGCGCGCTCTCTCTTGCTCCGTCTCTATCTCTCTCTCTGGTTGATTGCTGGACGCTGAGAATAACTTTTCAGCGATACTCTGTCGGTCCATGCCGAACTCAGCACAGAGCATCACCTCGCCCCTCCTCTCTGCGATGCACCACACGCATTGTTGTCGATCTCGAGGCCATTCCCCGGCTGGCTTGCTGTACTATTCTTAGCTGATGTGTGTCTTCTTGTCGAGCTGGTGGTCGCCGTCTTCTGCCGCTGGTAGCTGTGCTGAATTGACGAGCTGTGTTGCTGTTATATACGAAAAATCTCCCCTCTGCGCGTCTCTTGCGAGAGGAAAAAAAAAACAGACGCTCACTCCGTCGTGTTCTTTCACAAAGGGCCGGATCTTTCTTTGATCTCGCTCTGGTGTTGTGGGTGTGGGGGTACGTGTGTGTGTGTGTCCGTGTGTGTGTGTGTGTCATTTATTAAGTCACCGCACATCCGTGGGCACAGATGGCCCTTGCGATAAAGAGTAATTTCCCAAGCTCTGGCGTCAAATTATTTTCTCTCCCGTGCTGCGGGAAGACAAAGGCGGCCGGGAGGCTCTCTTTCTCTCTGGGACACATTTATCTTTGTCGCGTGATTGACCTATCTCGCCTCATCTCTTCCGGCTGGCTCTCGGTTTAACACTGCACAAATATGATTTGGTTTGTTTCCCAATATTTGTGATTTAACACCGTCACCACGACGCACTTCCCAGGGTTTATTAACCCTCGTCCGGGAATCGGTGCTGTTATGCTTGAGTTATTACTTACTTTAATTTTTTTGTCATTGAGTTTTAGAGGTAAGTTTCTTGACTGTTGGAATTCGTATTCCTTGGTTTTTGTAAGGTCATGTAACGGCAAGATGTAATATAATTTAAGGTGAATAACGTTCGCATTAATATTATGTGTGACCCGCTATGTGGATTGTAGTCTGTTTTTTTTTGTACTTCCGTTACTTAAAACTCGTCTGCCCGCTTTTCGTCTGATGTGTGTTTGCTCTATTGTTTGTGGTGTGGCGATGTCTCCTCAAGGCCTGGCCCCTTCCTTCGCGGGGGGGGGGAGGGCATGTGTGTGTGTGTGTTTTTTTATGACTGACCCTTTACGTTGGTGGGAGGGGAGGGTGTCATTATCCTTGCGGGAGTGACAAGGCAGCTGCTCGAAAACGGGGGGGGGGGGGTTCGTTTGTTTGTGCTGCCAGTGACCCCGCGAGTTATAAAAAAACGGCAAAATCAATATTAATATCAATTGTGGAAAAAGGCCCATATACAACATATTGCCAATATCATCTGGCAACGCATTTTGTCTAACACGCATGGCTTTGCTGATGAGGCCCAGAAGGTGGAGCTTCCTTGCTTGCTTAGAGAAATGCTGACGAACAATATTGGTTCGTGAGCCTAATAGGCCCATGGACTAATGTTTTATACGCGGAGATGCAGGACGAATGTGTGGTTTAAATATCTGCTTTTACCCAGAGCGCAGAGCAGTTAGTTTGTATACCACGGATCGTTGTGCTCCTCTCCCCAATATTGTTTTTTTTAATGTTTGTCTGTGCCGGTGAAGCGGTGTCTTACTTCCCACTGAGCACGAACTCCTGACGTGGAACCTGTGAGTGGACTTTAAATCTGACTGATGCTGCTTCATACCCCACCACGGGGGGGGGGGGGAGGATAGCGAGCCCACTCCCCCACCACCCCATCCCTCACCTTCTTCTTAAACTCAAGAGTTCAGGCCATTCCACTTTGCAGTAATATCCACCCATAGGAGGCAATGACACTCATTCATTTTTCAGAGCTCAAGTGCTTTCTGCAATCGAATGAGTCGTATCAGGATTCGGCTTCAACTGCAGTTATTTTGGCATTCATTTTGTGGTAGATTTCTTTCCCCCACTGTGAACACGAGCGTGCATGCGAGCGCTCATGTGTGTATTGCGAGGACAGAGTGGTTGGACACCACGGCGGCGAGATGTTAGCTACCTCGCCTGGTACACAGGAGGTCGTGGGTTGAATTCCGACCCTGACGCCTGCTTGCTTGGAGTTTGCATGTCTCTCTCCCCGTAGTCGCGTGGATTTTTCTCCGTCTCCTCTGGGTTTTCTCTCCACATTTAGGATCAACATGCATTCAGAGTATTTGCCTGCTATACATTTGCACGATGATAAGCCGCTTCCTTGAGCTATCATTTGTGATTGCCGGGTTGCTTCTGAAAAAGAGCTACGTAGCTCAGTGGGCCTTACCTGGTAAAATACAAATATTCTTGGTTCTTTCGGTAAAGTCACGTTGAAGGGAAACAATAAAATAATAAAATATATATAAAACAATAACATTCTCTCGACGTTTCGACTGTAACACAAACAGTCATCATCAGGTGTGAAAACCAACGGCAGGAAACATTTGAAAGAAGTGGCGGTTTGTATTTATTTTTTTAAACGTTAGCACCACGGATAGCGATTTGACAGTTTGTTTAGAAGGACGAGTCCATCTATGTTCGGAAAAGAGGAGGGGGGAGACGAAAAATTAATGTATGCTGTCTGAAAGCCCACCGTAAGCGTGAACAATCAATTAAGACCCGAAATGATTTATCAAATCCTTCCAATGATTGCTAATCCAGAATCCATCTTCTCGGTTGAAATTGTCTCTGTGTTTGTATATGTGGATAGCCTCATGAACGAATCTCTCATGGTAGCCCAATGGCTTGCAAAGAACCTCTGTCTTGGAGAAGTCAATGTCATGTTAGCCTACTGAATTATAACAGTGATCTGCCACGGCCGAGGTGTTGGTCCTACCGTGTTTAAGGTCTGCTTTGTGTTCACAAATGCGGTCCGAGACATGTCGTTTGGTTTCTCCAATGTAACTACTACCACAGAGGCAACTTAGTTTGTAAACACCAGGGTACTGTATGTCCGGAATCACATTTTTTACAGACGGAACCAGATCACGGATCTTATGTAATGTGTTGAATCTGACCTGGATCTTGTGTTTATTCAAGATTTTGGAGATCTTTTTTGTGATCCCTGCAATGTAGGGTAAAGTGATGGTTTTGAAAGGCTCCTCAAGAGGCTCCTTCTTCATGGTTTGAGTGATAGATTTGCGGATTGTATAGTCGGCGTAACCCTTCAACGTGACTTTACCGAAAGAACCAAGAATACAAATAGTTTAGTTTATAGTTTAGTTTAGTTGGCGTATTGCGCTACTAAGCCGGCGATCCGAGTTAAATTTCCTGCTGCGACTAATATCAATGGCGAGCGATAATTGAACTGGTTCCGCGTGCCCCTGTGTACGAAACTGCATCAACCATCGCGGTGAAGTACGTGTAACTCTGTGTTCAAATCACGTAATAAAAATGTCAACAATCGCGCCGCACACTCTTCGCTGGCTCTCGGAGGCAGACAAGGACTCGGGAGGTGTGAGGAAACAGAGATAAGCAGGAAGGCAGCCACACGGTGAGCTGGCGCTAGCGATCGCTCAAGCTCTGCAGCGCATACATTGTTCGTGAAATTAAAAAAACACACATTTGACTGAGATGATAATAATAATAATAATATCAAGTTGTCACGCGTCGCACAATCTTCGCTCGCAGAGAGGGGACGGCTACGAGGCGCGAGGAGGAACCGCAGACGAGCGGAGCCGGTGACAACAATTGGCCAAGCTCTGCGGTCCTCTATATATGTCAAGGAGTTCTCGGGCTCATTGATGAGCGTTGACACGCGGCGGGGAAATTAAAGGCACCTCGAGAAAACCCAGCGCGTGCGAGGGGGAAACCCTCTATCCCATGCGGAGAGAATAGGCGGGGTCCACAATTTCGCTGGCGAGCCAGGCTCCAGCACCTCCTCGATGCACCGTGGGAAGAAGGGAGTTTCACGACGTTCGTGCGATCCACCAAAGCTCGCCTTCGCAGCGCTGTGGGACACTGGCGTTGCAATTGTGACTTGCCGCCGTGGGTGCGCGCACGCAGATCTTGGTGGGCGAGGTGACAAACCACTTTGTGGATTACGTGAACAAAGACCACAGCACGCGGGAGAGGACCATCCTGACGGGGGACTGCTGCTACATCAGCCCGCTGCTGCGCCGTCTCGTGAGATTCACCGGTGAGATCGCGCGATGCGGCGCGACCGCGCACCCATCGATCCGGCGATGCCGGTTCCACAGCTGGAACTCGCACCGACTGTGGCGAGAGCTGTGGTTGTCACGGCTACTGAAGCGAGATCTCCCCAGCATCCTGCCGCAAAGCGGTCCTTACCTCGTTTAAATTACGGAATACATGCCTACCGCCCTAGATGCCTAAATATCTACCCACCCCAACTATCCTGCGAAACCTTGCTCAACCGCATACCGAGCTGACCCAGATATCAAATCCACCTTTACACTCACCTGAATACCTATCCACCTATCTAACTCACCCACCCAACTACCCACCCACCACAATATCCTACCTACTTAGCTATATAACTCACTCGCTCACACACCCATCCACCCACCCACCCACCCACCAAATGCCACCCAAATCTGCAGGGCTCACCATCTGCCTACTCTGCCACCCAACCACCCATCTAAGGTTGCCACCTGTTCTGCTTTTTCCGGGATCGTCCTTTTGTTGTCAGGTGTAGGTTATTGTCAGTTGCGTAATAATACACCCACTCAAGAGGACGCATTCACACGTAGTATTGTGAGGTGGCAACCCTTCACACACCCCTCCCCACCCACGCTCACCAACTCACCCCACTGCAGTTTCCCCTGCTCACCTCCAGGCCCGGCTCTTTTCGGATAGGGGGGCCCAGTACAGGTCTTGTGTTCGTGTGGGGGGGGGGGGGGGTACCAATACAGTGGTGTACACCGCTAAGGAGGGTGAACTTGGGTAGCGCCAAAGATGACACCTTGGGAAGGAGATGTAAACTCCCACGCCTGGTATGCAAGAGGTCGTGGTTTTGACCCTGACCCTGACGCCTGCTGCTGTATATTTGGAGTTTGCGTGCCTCTCTCCCCGTGGTTGCGTGGATTTTTCTCGGGGCCCTCCGTTTTTATCCCTCGGCATTCAGCATCAACGTGTGCATTTCGAGTATTTGGCGCCTATACATTTCCACGTGTTGACAAGCCCCTTAGTTGAGCTATCGTTTGCCATGGCTCAGGTCACTTTTGAAAAAAAACACACAGAGGTCAGTGGGCCTTACCTGGTAAGTAAAATACAAAAAGGGGGTATTTGGTGGTAGCACAGCAGTCCACACCCCGGCAAGCCCCCGCTCACCCCCCCCCCCCCCCACCCCCACCTCCCCGCTCCCCCCACACACCCAGGCGTGTTCGCGTTCGGCTACTTCGCCACGGACATCTTCGTCAACGTGGGCCAGGTGGTGACGGGGAGCCCCGTGCCGCACTTCCTCAGCGTCTGCCGGCCCAACTACACCGCGCTGGGCTGCGGCGCCGGCGCAGTTGCCGGCGGCGCCGGTGGCGCCGGCGGCGGCGCGGTCGCCGTGGCGGTGGCGGTGGCGGTTGGCGGCGGTAACGGCGTGGTCGGAGTCGCGACGGCACGCTTCGTGGCGGGCGCCGAGGACGGGGCGTGCACGGGCGACGGGCCGCTGGTGCAGCGAGCGCGACGATCGTTCCCGTCCAAGGACGCGGCGCTGGCCATGTACGCCGCCCTCTACGTGACGGTGAGTGCCGCTCCCTCCCTCCCTCCGTCCCCACCCACGCCCCCCCCACACACACACAAACAAACGGGGTGGCAGGGTGGCGCGCTGGTGACGCCCGGTGCCCGTGCAGCTGGAAGGGGCCTGGGTTTGAATCCACTGAACGACGTCCGTCGTGAAGCGGGCTGGCGCGTACTGTTTACGGTTACCGCGGCGATAACCGGGGCGGCCTGTCCGGGTCGAACCGCAAACCTTGACGACAAGCTGGCGAATGCGCACCAGCTGGGCCACGACGGTGATGATGACGTCAGTGAAGGTGACGGTGATGATGACGTCAGTGAAGGCGACGGTGATGATGACGTCAGTGAAGGCGACGGTGATGATGACGACAGTGAAGGCGACGGTGATGATGACGACAGTGAAGGCGACGGTGATGATGACGTCAGTGAAGGTGACGGTGATGATGACGTCAGTGAAGGCGACGGTGATGATGACGACAGTGAAGGTGACGGTGATGATGACGACAGTGAAGGCGACGGTGATGATGACGTCAGTGAAGGCGACGGTGATGATGACGACAGTGAAGGCGACGGTGATGATGACGACAGTGAAGGTGACGGTGATGATGACAGTGAAGGCGACGGTGATGATGACGACAGTGAAGGTGACGGTGATGATGACGTCAGTGAAGGCGACGGTGATGATGACGTCAGTGAAGGCGACGGTGATGATGACGTCAGTGAAGGCGATGGTGATGATGACGTCAGTGAAGGCGACGGTGATGATGGCGACAGTGAAGGCGACGGTGATGATGACGACAGTGAAGGTGACGGTGATGATGACGTCAGTGAAGGCGACGGTGATGATGACGTCAGTGAAGGCGACGGTGATGATGACGTCAGTGAAGGCGACGGTGATGATGACGTCAGTGAAGGCGACGGTGATGATGGCGACAGTGAAGGCGACGGTGATGATGACGACAGTGAAGGTGACGGTGATGATGACGACAGTGAAGGTGACGGTGATGATGGCGACAGTGAAGGCGACGGTGATGATGGCGACAGTGAAGGTGACGGTGATGATGACGACAGTGAAGGTGACGGTGATGATGATGACAGTGAAGGTGACGGTGATGATGACGACAGTGAAGGTGACGGTGATGATGACGACAGTGAAGGTGACGGTGATGATGACGACAGTGAAGGTGACGGTGATGATGACGACAGTGAAGGTGACGGTGATGATGACGACAGTGAAGGTGACGGTGATGATGACGACAGTGAAGGTGACGGTGATGATGACGACAGTGAAGGTGACGGTGATGATGGCGACAGTGAAGGTGACGGTGATGATGGCGACAGTGAAGGCGACGGTGATGATGGCGACAGTGAAGGCGACGGTGATGATGGCGACAGTGAAGGTGACGGTGATGATGACGACAGTGAAGGCGACGGTGATGATGACGTCAGTGAAGGCGACGGTGATGATGACGACAGTGAAGGTGACGGTGATGATGACAGTGAAGGCGACGGTGATGATGACGACAGTGAAGGCGACGGTGATGATGACGACAGTGAAGGTGACGGTGATGATGACGACAGTGAAGGTGACGCGTGATGATGCGACAGTGAAGGTGCGGTGATGATGACGACAGTGAAGGTGACGGTGATGATGACGACAGTGAAGGTGACGGTGATGATGGCGACAGTGAAGGTGACGGTGATGATGCGACAGTGAACGGTGACGGTGATGATGGCGACAGTGAAGGCGACGTTGATGATGGCGACAGTGAAGGCTGACGGTGATGATGGACGGACAGTGAAGGTGACGGTGATGATGACGACAGTGAAGGCGACGGTGATGATGACGTACAGTGAAGGCTGACGGTTGATGATGACGACAGTGAAGGTGACGGTGATGATGGACAGTGAAAGGCTGACGGTGATGATGACGACAGTGAAGGTGACGGTGATGATGACGTCAGTGAAGGCTGACGGTGATGATGACGTACAGTGAAGGCGACGGTGATGATGACGTCAGTGAAGGCGACGGTTGATGATGACGTCAGTGAAGGCGACGGTGATGATGGCGACAGTGAAAGCGACGGTAATGATGACGACAGTGAAGGTGACGGTGATGATGACGACAGTGAAGGTGACGGTGATGATGGCGACAGTGAAGGCGACGGTGATGATGGCGACAGTGAAGGTGACGGTGATGATGACGACAGTGAAGGTGACGGTGATGATGACGACAGTGAAGGTGACGGTGATGATGACGACAGTGAAGGTGACGGTGATGATGACGACAGTGAAGGTGACGGTGATGATGACGACAGTGAAGGTGACGGTGATGATGACGACAGTGAAGGTGACGGTGATGATGACGACAGTGAAGGTGACGGTGATGACGACAGTGAAGGTGACGGTGATGATGACGACAGTGAAGGCGACGGTGATGATGACGACAGTGAAGGCGACGGTGATGATGACGACAGTGAAGGCGACGGTGATGATGACGACAGTGAAAGTGACGGTGATGATGACGTCAGTGAAGGCAACGGTGATGACGTCAGTGAAGGCGACGGTGATGATGACGTCAGTGAAGGCGACGGTGATGATGACGTCAGTGAAGGCGACGGTGATGATGACGACAGTGAAGGTGACGGTGATGATGGCGACAGTGAAGGCGACGGTGATGATGGCGACAGTGAAGGTGACGGTGATGATGACGACAGTGAAGGTGACGGTGATGATGACGACAGTGAAGGTGACGGTGATGATGACGACAGTGAAGGTGACGGGTGATGATGACGACAGTGAAGGTGACGGTGATGATGACGACAGTGAAGGTGACGGTGATGATGACGACAGTGAAGGTGACGGTGATGATGACGACAGTGAAGGTGACGGTGATGATGACACGTGAGCGACGGTGATGATGACGACGTGAAGGCGACGGTGATGATGACGACAGTGAAGGCGACGGTGATGATGGCGACAGTGAAGGTGACGGTGATGATGGCGACAGTGAAGGCTGACGGTGATGATGACGACAGTGAAGGCGACGGTGATGATGGCGACAGTGAAGGTGACGGTGATGATGACGACAGTGAAGGCGACGGTGATGATGACGTCAGTGAAGGCGACGGTGATGATGACGACAGTGAAGGTGACGGTGATGATGACAGTGAAAGCGACGGTGATGATGACGACAGTGAAGGTGACGGTGATGATGACGTCAGTGAAGGCGACGGTGATGATGACGTCAGTGAAGGCGACGGTGATGATGACGTCAGTGAAGGCGACGGTGATGATGACGTCAGTGAAGGCGACGGTGATGATGGCGACAGTGAAGGCGACGGTGATGATGGCGACAGTGAAGGCGACGGTGATGATGACGACAGTGAAGGTGACGGTGATGATGACGACAGTGAAGGCGACGGTGATGATGACGACAGTGAAGGTGACGGTGATGATGGCGACAGTGAAGGCGACGGTGATGATGGCAACAGTGAAGGTGACGGTGATGATGACGACAGTGAAGGTGACGGTGATGATGACGACAGTGAAGGTGACGGTGATGATGACGACAGTGAAGGTGACGGTGATGATGACGACAGTGAAGGTGACGGTGATGATGACGACAGTGAAGGTGACGGTGATGATGACGACAGTGAAGGTGACGGTGATGATGACGACAGTGAAGGTGACGGTGATGATGACGACAGTGAAGGTGACGGTGATGATGACGACAGTGAAGGCGACGGTGATGATGACGACAGTGAAGGCGACGGTGATGATGACGACAGTGAAGGCGACGGTGATGATGACGACAGTGAAGGTGACGGTGATGATGACGTCAGTGAAGGCGACGGTGATGACGTCAGTGAAGGCGACGGTGATGATGACGTCAGTGAAGGCGACGGTGATGATGACGTCAGTGAAGGCGACGGTGATGATGACGACAGTGAAGGTGACGGTGATGATGACGACAGTGAAGGCGACGGTGATGATGGCGACAGTGAAGGTGACGGTGATGATGACGACAGTGAAGGTGACGGTGATGATGATGACAGTGAAGGTGACGGTGATGATGACGACAGTGAAGGTGACGGTGATGATGACGACAGTGAAGGTGACGGTGATGATGACGACAGTGAAGGTGACGGTGATGATGACGACAGTGAAGGTGACGGTGATGATGACGACAGTGAAGGTGACGGTGATGATGACGACAGTGAAGGTGACGGTGATGATGTCGACAGTGAAGGTGACGGTGATGATGACGACAGTGAAGGTGACGGTGATGATGGACGACAGTGAAGGTGACGGTGATGATGGCGACAGTGAAGGCGACGGTGATGATGGCGACAGTGAAGGCGACGGTGATGATGGCGACAGTGAAGGTGACGGTGATGATGACGACAGTGAAGGCGACGGTGATGATGACGACAGTGAAGGTGACGGTGATGATGACGACAGTGAAGGTGACGGTGATGATGACGACAGTGAAGGCGACGGTGATGATGACGACAGTGAAGGTGACGGTGATGATGACGACAGTGAAGGTGACGGTGATGATGACGACAGTGAAGGTGACGGTGATGATGACGACAGTGAAGGTGACGGTGATGATGACGACAGTGAAGGTGACGGTGATGATGACGACAGTGAAGGTGACGGTGATGATGACGACAGTAAAGGTGACGGTGATGATGACGACAGTGAAGGCGACGGTGATGATGGTGACAGTGAAGGTGACGGTGATGATGACGTCAGTGAAGGTGACGGTGATGATGACGACAGTGAAGGTGACGGTGATGATGACGACAGTGAAGGTGACGGTGATGATGACGACAGTGAAGGCGACGGTGATGATGACGACAGTGAAGGTGACGGTGATGATGACGACAGTGAAGGTGACGGTGATGATGACGACAGTGAAGGCGACGGTGATGATGACGACAGTGAAGGCGACGGTGATGATGACGACAGTGAAGGTGACGGTGATGATGACGACAG